ACTTCAGAAACCATGATTGCTGGTTGAGGATCTAGTGCGTCTACCGTATTTGCGAGATTCAATCCATGTCTTTCCTTGCAAACTGTATCAACAGGGAAACAATCTCAATGCCTCAATATAGTCTAAAATAATTAAACCAAACATTTTTTTGGAATTCAATCGGTGAAAAAACAAGCCTTAGCTCCTATAAAAAGATAGCATATATCGTGACATAGCGGCCCCTTTGAGAGCTTCTACCCTTAAATACAGAGAAAAAATCATAAAAAGTTTTAATCTTTTAGCAAATGCTCCTCAGTAGTGTCATAAGAAATTTATAAATAGAAAATATATAGAATGTACAGTGTGGAAGAGTATGGCTTTGCGGTAAGCTGCCTGTTTCAAGTCTGTTTAAGCCGCATACCCTATATCTCAGCAGTAAAGATAGTAAAGGTTTATGACTGCTTTACAGAGAGTCAGTGTAGAGAAAGAAAGTTGTCTTTGTATGAAATGCGTGGACTAACGCGAAAGCCCAAGTCCAGCCCTATCACCCAGCATCACTTCTAAAACTCGTAGCCTGTGAAGTGTTGTTTAGCTGAATTATAATCTGTTGATTGCACTAGAGTGTAATATTGTTTTCCTTGTAGGGCATTTTAAACCATAATTGTGCTCAGATTGAAAGAGAGTAAACAACAAAAAGTGGGGGCGATTCTTGGCTGGAACTTTAATTAATGACTGGGCTACAACTTCTTCAGTTTGCATACTAAACGTTAGTTAAAAAAATCATTGATCTGTGACATTTTGTAGACTTTGTAAAGAAATAAAATATGTTATATTTACAACATTACAGTGTACTATGTGAACACTAAAAGACATGCTATACCAACGGCAGCGAGGGAAGACGCAATCTACGAATGCTATCAAGCTATCAATGCTATCTGTTTTTCTAGAAGGTGATGCATGTATGGAATAAGTGGAGTTTACGAAGAAGTTAGGCAACCTCGTTCCCAGGGTTCTCTCCTACCCATGGGGGCGGATAGGGAGAACCCTGGGAACGAGGTTGGAAATTAGGTAAACTCACTTAGAATTTGATAAATGCTTACTTGAGTATCAATACTAAATATTAGGCATTACAAAACAAAATAAATATGAATCAATTTAATACGATATAAATATATTGTAGTTAAGCTCCTTCAGTTCAAATTGCTTTAAAGCAAAAAGGGTGTAATGACCACTATCCTTAGTCGAAAAAAAATTGTATTTATTTTTCGCTTACTTACTTATACTTGATAGTTTTATTTCGTAGGTTGGCGTTTCAACTGGACTTCCTTGATTGAACTTAGTGGTCAGGGGATTGAAATGGCTTTTGCCATCAGTAGCCAACTATATAAACAAATTAGCACAGTTCATTCAAGAGTTAAATAAAAAACACCTTTTTTGACCACGCCTTCCCCCATCCCGCGTATCTCGCGCTCCACGCCCGCTTCACGCTTGCCCTCGCTCGCTTGGAAAACGAAAAAAACAAGGCCTGTCCTAGAGGCGAAGAGATGTTTAAATTTTTCAGCCACTGACTCTGGGACTTAACTGTAAGTTAATAAATATCTATCAGTACTACCTTCGATTCCCTTCTATAAATATCCACGACTTTTCACATTCATTTCGCTGAATAATTGTTAATTAATAAGCGCATGTTTTTTAAAATTATCGATCATAGTCTAATAAGTTCCTCAAATAAGCGCCCTACTACTTGACCAAACGCCAATAAGCGTCTTCCCCCATGCCCTGCCACCCTTTTTTTTGCGATACAAAACTAAAAAAATCAAGTAGAGTGTTATTTCTAGTCAAATATCAACCGGCAACACTGGCTTCAATTGTAGCTTTTCGTTCGTTTATTCATTTCCAATCAATACACCTTAAGTTTCGAGTATTTTCTGGCGATTCTGGGCTACGCTGTTTTTGATAGGGAAGGAGGGGGACTAGGGGCAGTTGAAGGAGAGGGTGGGGGGTGAGGGAAAAGAAAAGAAAAGAAAAGCAGAGTTAATTATGTTGTGATTAACGAAAATGTTATTCCAGTCTAGTGCATGTCGCTGATAGATAGTTTTTGTTTCATCAGATGATAAACATTCAACTTCAGCGAGCAAGGGCTGGTAATCAATACAAGTGCGAAATATTTGCAGACCAGGTTGTAAACTTCTTGATGATTTCACGCGTGAATACTCAGCTATTGTTGCTCTACGTGATCAACTTATCGCAAAACAATTTCGACATTGTAACATGAAACAACGAAATTGTTGAGAGAAAAGTTACAAGAATTTGCTGTTTGTATTGCAGCATCTTCATATAAGATTGGGACAACCCAGAATTGCCAAAAATGTCTTCATTTGATTCAATCCCCTTTAATATCATCAAAACTAATATGCTAGAATTACAATTCTCTTTTTAAATATATCATATAAAGGTCTGAAAATTATTATCTACATTCGAAATAAAATTATAAATGTGATTATATCATCAATCCCACTCAAAAACACTTTGATACACTTTTGACAAATCAATGAATCTAATTGGCGTGTATAAAATCAAACCCTGAAAAATTACAACAAATCAGTGCTATGCCTTTATCTTATCACTTAAGAGTCTGTTAAACATAGACACTCGACTAAGATGGCTAAAACAAAGCCAGCTATGTTTTAGCCCTAAGCCGGGTAGATCAGTTTTAACACCAAGAAACGTTTCAAGCAACGACAACGACAGCAACACGAACGTCAAAAAAGCAAAGTGTGTAATAAGTAAAACAACGACTATGCACGCGTGCAGCGTTCTTTCTGGAACATTTCTTTTTTCTGCTATTGCACGACTACAACCACTAGAGATTTCCAGTGCGAAAGTTTTGAACTGGAAGGGGTGAGAAGTCTTAGTATTCAACTCCAAGAAGTTTTTCGTCCCGCATTTAAAATATCGAGGAAGCTGAAATAATGACAAAGAAGTCTGTAAGGACAGGACTTCATTTTGTTAGCAGCTGTGTTAGTGACGTTTACGTTGCCATCTTATCGCCATCGCCACGCAGACGTTGATTAGGGTGCATGACGAGCAGATCGCCTCAAAGAAACAAGTTACGAAGTTATTATTGATAATACTGCAAGTAGAAATCTATCTTCTTTAGATCAATCCACTCTCAAAAATTTTCATCTCGTTGTACAACACATCAAGAGAAATCAAAGTTGAAAAATTGCTTATTAAATCACATGTTGCAAACATTTTAAAACCGCAAAATCCCTTAAATAGGAAAATGATCCACGAAAAACTGAGAGGAAATAAACATTACAGTACGAGTAATCACTTGAAGCCGTTATGTACTGTAAATTACAGAAACCTTAGCTTAATGGGCCAGGTTTGAATTATCAAAATTCATACGTGGCTCCAAGGCTAAGAGGAATAAAACAAAATAATTGAATTCTTCATCCCTAAATGTAAACACGTTTTCTTTTATTTCATACTACTTGGCCTCTTGACCACGTGTGAATTTAAATAATTCGAAACTTCTACTTGTAAAAACCGTACACCTTGTTTGAATATCTACTTTATAAACTCTCGGGTTTCTAAAGTAAAGAGAAAAGAAACATTGAACTAAATTAAACTACCTCAATTCGGTTCTCAGTTGTAAGTCTGCAGAGGCGTAGAAACCAACTTTAAGCGTGAATTGATAAAACACGCTTCCATAGCGGTGGGGGTAACTGTTGTTCTGTGAGCCCCTGGGGAACACACCCTCTTGTCATTTAGACTGAAAACTGGTAATAACTCTCAACGTTTCGGCGTGAATTGCTTTTATTGATTCACTTTCTAGCCTTCTAGCCTTTTTCAGCCCACTCACCGCCCTCCATTGGTTGGTTACGGAGTACATGACGTATCAAAACGAAGATGGCGTTTTAGAGTGCATGATGTGTAGGGAGGCTGGACGTTCAGCGTTATCAAACATCAAAGAATTGCAGAAATCGAGCCATAAAATCTCATCAAAAATCGAGAACCAGCTAATGACCGCTTCCACAACCTGCATCCCCACAGGATGAGGAACAACAGTTATTCTACGAAAAGAGACTGCGTTTCAGAGGAAACGCGAATTTTACATTCCTTCGAAAATTTTCAGATATGCTAAAAAATTAAAGTTATCCCCGCTATCTCCATGGGAAGAAAAAGTCCAGTCTTCCCTTTCTATCGTGTCTGACAAGACGAGCAACTCGTGAGCTAATGTTTGTGTACCTGGACAAAACTAAAAAGACATACACCCAATTCCAAAAACGTTGGCATAGAAAAATGAAAAAAATGGAGAAAGCCAAAAATTAATAGGAATTAATTAGGTTAATAAGGCTAATGAATTCATTTGCAGCATCCGCACATGGACGTTGTATTTGAATGTTGGAATTTGCTATAATTGTTTAAAAGCTGAAAAACAAAAAACAAATCCAGCGGATGCCAACGTTATTATAACTAGGTGTGTTTTAATAAAATGCAACTATTAAACTTCTTACACACAGAGGGTTACGATAAAAGAACGTTTACTACGCTTTTCGATCAACACACGAATAACGAGTCGCAGTTGAAAAAACAGTCGATGCCAAAAACGCAAAAACTGACATTTTTTTTAAAAAAAATTGTTTTCTTTACTGACAGTTTTTTAAATATTATAATCACTTGCTTTATAAACCCGTTGTTTGATTTAATTATTAAAAATAGTAAATTTGAACTAGTATTAGCAAAATTATTACCATACAAAAAGAGATTTACCAAAAATATTCCCACATTTAATATCCATTATTATAAAGAGAATTTTCATAATTTGAAAACTATTTAAGCCTCTTAACTCTTTAAAAAGAATCCAAACTCAACGCTCGCCTGTTACACAAGCAAATTAGAAGAACTTTTCATAAAACTGAGGTGAATAAATTTAACAGGTTTACCTTAATTAAGCGTGAAAAATATTACAATATTCCTAGTAAATTAAATATTAATTATCATTAATTACAAATCTAACTTTCATATAAGGCTATGACTAGCATAATAGCTACACCCGTTAGTATTCCTATGTTCTGTGATAAGACCACAGACAAGCCACCACCTTCTTCTAAAAAGTTGCTCAGCTCGGGAAGCTGTGTAAAAGATGAGAAAAAAAATGAGATTGGGTGAGCAAAAATTCGACAGCAAGAAGGATACTTCCCGTTTTCAGCTCTTGGTCATTTTCAGGTTTAATAAGCGCGAGTTTGGGTTGATATTAGAGAGATTTAGAGTGACATATACGGTAAACAGCAAACGTCAGATTCAAGCTGAGAATTTCTCAAATAGAAAACGCGCAGCTAATCCAAAACAATTGTTATAGACAAAACTAATACTAAGCTACTGTTTTTGGGGTAAAAGAAATGAACAGGGAAGAACAAATTAAGGGAAAACTAGGTCAGGTGGTACAAATTCATGTTTGCCGTTTGTTGTAAACGTGACACTAATTCTTTATTGTACTAACAAGCCCCATCATCTCGGTCATTTTAGCTCCTTGTCAGACACTCAGAGCTTATGCGAGCGCTGCTATCTCGGGCAAAGGATCAGCTTTTCTTTCACATAACCGCTGGAAGGGTGCCTCTCTTTCCCAGGGTAACTTTTCTACAAATAAAGGGGACCTAACTCCTTAAAGACTGACTTTGGTGTAAGGCTATAGAGAATGTAATTAGTGATGTGTTACAACACCAAAAAATAATTCTTATGGGAGACCGAGAAAACAAATTTCAAAAGATTCAAATTTCACAAAATGAGATCTTACGAATGAAATTTTACGCGTCTTTTCTTAATTCCTGTGAAATTTGAAATTTCATTTTAATTCTCGGGCTACAAATAACTTATTATATCTATAACCCTTGAAAAGTGTAAAAAAGAATGCGATATGGTTTAAAATATTCTGGTACAAGGTTTTTGTCCACTGAAAATTAAAATTACTCAGTTTCCTGATGGATTCGGTCTTAATAAGAAAATGCACTTGACTCACCATATCAACAAGAGATATGTACAAAAACATTCCAGCTGTGAGTGCTAACACCCAGGAATGAGCGGACTCTATGTCACCAATGATAATTCCCAGCACTAGACCAATATAGGAGATGATGGCCGATGCAAAGTTGTATGCCACAGCCTGTCTAAATGTGAGACCTGACTTGAGCAAGATGGCAAAATCACCTGAAATTTCAAAAACAATGTCAGGTTCTAGATTCTTTAAACTTTTCTGAATGGCTTAAAATATGCTCAACATGAGTCAGTAATGAAATCGCCCTGTGAAAGGAGTAATTTTTCTGCCAGGAGGAGACACGACACAATGCAAGCAATTTTCGCGTGTGCGCGCATTTTTCACTCACATGACCACCACTTTCTGCAATTGTAAATTTCCTATAGAATAGTTTGACATTTTCTTATATCTAGTTGACTTAGCTGCTAACAAAGTTGAAGGTTCACTAAAATGTCCATTGAGGCCCGATTTATTATGCTGGCTATATTCCGCGTTAATTTTGTTGCGATCTTTGATGGTAAAACTTCTTTGCGATCTTAATTCAGTACTACAACTTCCGGTCAGGGAGTGGCTACTGCAGAATTTTTGTGATGTACACGTTCATTTGCCAAGGCAGGGTTTTGGTAACTCTTTTGCAAAAACAAAAATCGCCGATAAATCACACCGAAATCCAGGCAGGTCCGAAACAAGGCCACTTGGCGGCGACCAATCGAGAGGAGATCGTCACAAGTTTGCCTACCCTATATGAAGTCGCACCTAAAAGCGCACGAAAATTCATTACATGAAGGGCGTGAACACAAAACGAACTTTCTCTTTCTAAACTGGTTTAGGTGCCTAAGAATTTACATTTAGTTAATTTGTGATGTTACTTCTTCCTTTGCCGTGGTGGTTGCTTAAAGGGTTTTACAATCCGAGGACGGCGTCACCAACGAAAACGCCGGTTGAAGAAAAATAGACGTCGCATCCTAAACTTTTTCGTGATCATTTCAAGTCGTTCATTTACATGAAAGACCAATTTTCCCTGGAAAATTTTTTTGAACAAGTTTTCAACCCATGATATGAGGAGTCGACAGAAATTTATTACTGTGACAATAAATCTCACCTAATTCATGAGGCAACTCGTGGCAAAACACGGCTATAGCAGTGGTGAGACCGCTGGTCAGTGAGGCAGAAAACGCAGCACCGACGGCCAATCCATCACTGAAGTTATGAAATCCGTCACCAACAATCACCATCCACGCTACAGTGGCAATGGACGTGTTTTTGTCGATCTTATGGCTGTGGTGATGATGATGGTGGTGATGATTATGATTCTCCTCATAATGTTGATCTCCACTTTCACTTGTAGCATCATCCGTGCTGGTGTCTGTAGTTACAGAGGTGACCTGGTACCTATACCCCTGACCACGGTGACAATGACCTTGACTAACACCACGATTGGTTTGGCTGCTACTATCACTAGCGTTGCCAGCAAAATTTTCATTGATGTAAAGGTTTGGGTGAATACAAGATTTCCCACATAAAGCAGAAATCAGTTCTGTGTCACTATAGCTGTGCTTGCTTGCTTCACTCATACTATCTCGCTGGTAGCAATGGTGGCCATGGCAACTAGGTTCCCACAAGGGCACTTTTTCTTGGGAGCTCTCTGGCGTGTTGCTGGTGCGTACCTCTTTCGCAGGCTCCACAATGACGAGTTCACATGAAGATGGCTTATAAGTCCGAGACAAAGGACCGCTTACTTTTGGAAAATGTGCATCATCATAGCTTATACAGCGGTGACTACCAGCGAGTCTGGAACCAACCATTGCTTGATACTCCTTGGCATGTTTTTCCTTTTCCTTCAGGCTCTGTTATAAGAAAGAAACATTCATAACACCACATATAAGCCAAATAAACATGGTTTAAACTTACTACAGAAACGCATGTCATTATTCCAAAGAGTTGGTTAAAAATATCACAAAATTCTTTGAGACCCTTTTTATATCAAAAATCGCTTAAAAAGTACGACTTGCAATGTAGGAATTAAAGCTAGAACGTTTCATCGCGATTTTATACTAATGCTTCTTTTCGTGTAACTTTATTGAATGTGTACGTATGTAATGATACATTAAAAAGTCTAGGCTGTTAAAGGTTCAGGCGTACAGTCAATACACCCTGAGGGGAGGGGAGGGGGGGTCTTATACTCGTCTTGGACAAGTTTCTGTGAGTCATAGGCTCAGCCTACGCCAGTTATATAGCATATTCCGCCTGACGTGAGAAGTAAGCTCCTTGTTTTATCTTGTAATTGGATTTATCTTATAAATCCTGTTATGTGTTGCATCAAGGACAGAGGAACATCAGCTCAAATGGCTCTGAGAGAATCTGAATTCAATTCCTCCACTCTGATACAATTCTGTCGAAATTCCTGCTTTCTTTTTTGACCAGGGGTTGGACTAAACGGCAAGAAAAATCCAACAGTGAAAAACATATAAATTTTTCCCCGCTGGTTAATCGTTCAGGCATCTGCTCGGTCCCACTAACCTAAGCGCTACAAATGCTGCCAAGAGTAAATAAAAGAATAACTAAAATGTCAGTTAGAGTTCACGGTGTTCTAATGTAAAACCAAATAGAGTTTGATTTTATGCGTTGACCTCCTCTTCGGTGTGCGCCTAACGGAGTCATTTTTAAAAAACAAAAAAATCTCCCCCAGAACCTTTCTTCTTTCCTCGCTCTTTCGTCCCCAGGAAACTGGGGACGAAATTGAATGCAAACCTTTTGTCACTCCTCTGGGTGTCAGTCAGCTGAATACTGATTTCACTCTGCGTCGGATTTGTCTGAACCTTTCTACTTTTGTAAACCTCAGCACTTTCCCTAATCCTGGCCATCCGGGGGCCCGTTTCTTGAAAGGACAGGTAACTTTTGGGCCCGAAGGAAAAATTTAAAATCAAAACATGAACTGTCAGCTTCGTTAACTGATAGTTTCATTGTATCATTGTCAAATTATATCTTGAATGCAAACACGAAGAACATAGAACAGTTTTAGGGCTCGAAAAGTTACCGGTATGTTCGAGTAACGGGCACCTGGGCAGGAACCAATTATCCCTGGAGAAAACAGAACAACAAGATGGCTACCCTACCATTTCGTCTGGTGTCGTAACATCGTCACACACATGTACATTATGTTGTGTCTGTTTTCTTCTTCCTAAGCGAGCTTTCATTGTACATTCCACCATGAAAAAGACATAGATTCCAGCCATAATAACACAGGATTTATAGACGTTCATCTTATGCCCATCGCTTTCATCGGAGTCACCAGTGTGATTTGAGTCAAATGCCTAAAATTGAAGTAAGAAATAGTACTTAAAATAGTTTCTGTCAGTATACGAAGACCTGAGTTGCGTACTGCATACTTCGAACATAGAGATCAGATTACGTGACAGGTAGTCGCTTACAAGAGATTAAAAACAAAGGCAAATTATACAACCGTTACATAAGAAAGTGCTGAGATCACTCACAAAGAAGTGATCTGACCGCAGGCCTGAAAAGTTGGTCGTTCAAGAGAGATGGTCGCGTATGGAGACTCGACTATATGGGAACATTTTGATTATAAAATTCTTCACTAATGGTCGATTTTTCGCGCTAATCAACGTGTCGGATCATCTCCTTAAAAAATCACAGCAGTTTTACAGCTGTGGAACCCCGTTAATGCGACCACCGTTGGGCCATAAAATCCTGGTCGTAATAACGAGGTGGTCGCATTAACGGGGTCTTCAAAATAATGAAATGACTTAATGGTTTTTACGTTTGGTTTGAAAGAATATGGCCGTAATAACGAGAGGTGGTCTTATAAACGGGGTGGTCGTAAGGCGGGGTTCCACTGTACTGACGATTTTCTTCTTATTCTCTTCATTTCTTCACTCATTCATTCATCAATCCATCCATCTATTCATTCGTTCGTTCGTTCATTTATTTATTCATTCATTTATTGGTTCTTTCTTTCATTCATAAATTCATTCATTTGTTCAGATTTCACTTAATCAATCAGTCAGTCAAAGAGTTAGTCAGTCTTACTTAGTCAGTTGCACATTAATTCTTATCGAAATTTCGAAATCTCTTTTCCTATCTTTCTTTACTCACGTGAGGAATGAGATGAAGAAGAGCATCCCCTGACAAGGTGCCTACAGCCAGAGCCACAAGAAATGACATGATCTTTTTATAAATTGATCGACCCATCAGCGGAATGATTCCTATTGCTAACAGTGACGTTAGGCTAATGACAGTGATTGACAGGACACCATATCCCCAGACTAAGAAAACAAACAAACATATCTTGTCTACATGGTTCATTTCATAAGAGTGTAACAAAAAATTTGAATTGGAACCCATATTGACTATCTGCTGCAAAGTCATATATTTAGAAGTCAATGAAATAAAACTTGAGCCAAGTCCAAAACGGTCTCATTCAAGGATTAAATTCCAATTTTCCGTCGAACACCTCCGTCCCTTTCACACTGAAATCACTTCCTCCCCCCCCTCCCTCCCGCAAGACCATGACGTTCTCACAGGTCACGTAATCGTGGCCATTACGCCAGTTCAGCTCAATGATGCGACACACATGCTGCGAACTGTTATGACGGACGTGAGGGTGTGAATAGGCTAATATACCTCAAGTCAACAAGCAATTCGAGCCGTTTAACGAGCTCTTTGGGCCTCTTTTTCGACAAACAACAAAAAAGGGGTTTAGTCTAGAAAGCGTTATCATTTATCGCACATTTATGCCACTTTTGATCTAGGCAATGTTCGTAAGACTTCCATTCTTTTTTTTTACCAAGTACTGGCCCGCTCAGTAACAGCTAACAGTTTATTACCAAAGTACACATTAGTCCTACATAGGAAGAAAACATAACAAAAGACAAACGCACAAAAGAGAATTTTTAAGGTAGAAAAATACGTCAAGCACTATCTAAAACCGCACTCCCAAAAACGAAGTTAGAGTTAACTAAAATTGATTATTTGACTGTGTATTTGTATACAAAACATCTCCCATACAAATTTCCAAAGTGGAATTCTATAAACTCGTCTATAAATTAAAGCGTCTGTTTTATCAGACAATAAGTTGGTATTTTGTTGTTTTACGGTCACAAACCAAACAATTGCTATTGTATTGTATTGCTACAGACTGAACCCCACTGAGACCTTTCTATTGAGCCTACTGCTAGGACCGTTCGGGTTATCAATGCCGATAGAAGTTTCCTAAATCGTGCGAATGAACAATGAAAGACGGAATAAAGACCCAAGCTCTTGAAAGAAAAAGAGAAACATAAAATATCCGTCACTAGTTCACTTTGGATGTGAAGCGGATTAGAGCCGGGTTTCGATGGATTCATCATCAGTTCATGGAACAGTGACGGGAACAGTGACTGAGGTCACTGGAACTCGTCCAATTTGGTTTAACCTCATATTTAGCTTACCCTCTAAGGAAGGAAATAACAACTGCAAAGGTGCAGTGACTCACCTTGTAACATTTTGGGACCTGTATTTTCCTCGTCTTCGCTCTCAGACTCTTGAACTTCAATGCAGGCACCCTCCAGAAGCTGGTGAACTAGCGACGGGCAAATCCGCACAAAATCTTCTTGACTCACTCCTTTTGTTTCACTGACTTGATGAATTCTCAGTAAATCTTGTTCTTTTAGGCACTAGAAAAGATACAAATGATCTGAAATTGCTTCGTAAATATGCAGCCGAAAAATTCAGTGGCTGTTAACCCTCGAACAAAAAGCAGAGCAAAGCCAAAACGATTCAACCGGTTTGTAGCCGGTCCTTTCACGCAACCATAAACGATCGACCCGGACCGAGTATTAAAACTTACAAGGTCGGTTGTTGTTTCCAATCACCAAGCTCCGAGAATATTAAAAGTACGTGAACACACTTGCCAAAGCCTACAGCTTTGTCTTCATCGGTTGTGAATCCAGCGTCACTAACGTATTCAGGTTTCACCCACGCGTTTTCTTCACATGTAATCAATCCGGAGGTGTTCTTTGAACGTTTTTAGGGCGGTACTGCTGCGATAGGACTGTGTAACGCTAGGCCTGTATCAGCCCATGTTCAGCTACAATGTCGCAAACTTTTCATTTAGTGTGATAGCGTTGGATTTGTTGCTTTAGAAAACCAGTCATTCAAGATAGAATAATAATAGGTTCGGGGCAAGGAGAATCCGGCGGAACTCCTCCACCTAAAATACACGTAACGATACCCCCGGGACTGGGGGAAGCAGCACCTCCTAGGTTCAAGAAGCTAGTTGATTGACAACAAAGTACTTCACGTTTCGTTGGGATAATGACAGTAACACGAACTCAAGCCAACCTACAGTAGCCGTTCGGATAGTTAAGTCGGCGCTGCGCCGTCCCCACGATTGGAACGCCTGGAACAGGCTAAAGCGAACCGTCATCCGAGTTCTTGCTAAACTGTATGCCGGATATTACTATGTTTCGTTTTTCCGAAACTAATTTACGAATTGACAAATAGAAACCAATAACTTCTGCTCCTATTTAACACACATCTACATGTCGGTTCGAAACACTGCACACCGTGAAAGTGAATGTTGCAACCTGTAAGCAAGCTGAATTGCTACGTTAATATTTAGGGCGAGCGAGTATTTTGACGGAGGAGACGTCAGCACAAGCTACACTGAAGCTAGCATACTGTATCCAGCATTAAAAATGGGGCGACCATCTATTCTTCTCTCCGCACGTCAACCTGCTGTCAGGCTATAAAAGCCGTGACTACTTTCATCTCAAGGATGTGGAACAGATTTGACCTAAGCACTGAAGGTCGCCTGTCCGTATTAAAGCAGGCAAAGTGATCTAATCGACTTGGCCGTGAAGCTACGATAGCATTATAATTTGTTTCGTTTCGTTTTGATTGTATGGCCTTGAAATTTAATGGCGATATCTTCAAACAACAAAGCAGGGCTTGCGAAAAAAGCGAGAGAAAAAAATTCCAACTGGATACCAAGGTATGGCCTTGAGAATTGCTGTAAATGGAGACTTTCGATTTTCAAATCAATTTTTTGCCTAACAAATCGACGACGAAAAGGTGTAATTTTTTGTGATGATTTTCGACCAAAAAACTGGCTTTCTGGACTTCACTGCCAAACGAACGACGATATAAACTGAAAATTGGGAGTTGCAGTTGGTTTGTTTGCTTTCATAATTTAAATTGCAAAATCTACCATTTAGTGCTATGAATAAATGTCCAAAAGGTTGTAACTGAGGTAAGACAAGAAGCAAATAGTTAATGATGTACCAGTCAAGTTTTTTTACGCATATATGCAGCGTTAGGATTTAAAGGGTTAAGCTCCCTATCTTCCACTCCGCTGCCATTTCCTTTGCTATTTCAAATACCTTGGCCCACACCATGACGTCATCTCACTTCTCTTAGCTTGCAGCACATTGATCACAACCCGAGATTCCTTTGTTGCTTCAGGTTCAGGTTCTTGCCCCGAAACCCTGAAGCATGTTTGACAGGGCAACTGTATGAGACAGAAAATGTGCTGTTGCACAGAGGCAAATTATAAAGTAAAACCCAGTCAAACCAGTGTCTTATTATGCCACGTGCACAGCCTTGCGAAGCCTCCCTCTTACGCAACGCTCTTGGGGGTTCGTCACGCGTTCCTGTCCCATGAACGTCTGCTGAGTTCGCAAATATCAGCTGGAGCTCACGTGCAGATTATCGGAGACAACCAATTGGCGCTGTTGAAGTCAAAGTGTTGACAAGCCAAACAAATACGTACAAGCTCGGTAGAGTTTACATGACCAAAGTGTTTAGCTCCGGACAACAATATTTAGGAGATAAAAGTTGGCGTTTTGTATGTTTGACATATTTCTCTTCGCAAAGGCTGGAGTAGGTGTCATTTACTCATAAAGTTGGTCTGTGGGTGAGGCAACGGAGGGGTTGTACGTTGTAACTGAACAAAAGGCAGAATTCTTTTCGCAGTTAATTGTTTTGTAGTAAAGCCGACTTCTGTTCTAAAAGTATAAGGTCTTCACCTTTCGAGTCTCGCGCGAATTTTCTCAAGGAAAGTGAATTTCCCAGATCTGGGAGTGTGCTGTGATTGGTCTACGTTTTCTACTGCTCGATTCAGCAGAAGTTTATGACGAACCCCCAAGAACGCTCTCTCCTCCGCAGTGGCTCCCGCTGGGTGATCGAAACATAGAAAGCGCGCGGGGGACGATGGGAAAAGGGAAAAGGGAAAAGGCTTCTTCTCCCTCGCCTTCCCATTGTCCCCCGCGCCCATTTTTTCCCCTCTCTTCAGCCCTCCCTACGATACAAAGAGTCCTATGCGGAGGAGGGAGCCTAAGAAAGTCTGCGTGGGAGGCTAGCCTAGACTTTGAATTTGAAACTACAATGCACGAGTGCGGCAGCGCTCTGTCTAGCCTGCGAACGGCAGACGTTTCTCCTCGCTCATCGCCGCTGAGGAGCAGTGCATGCCATCAATGACACTCTCGGCAAACATTTTTGGGAAAAGAAAACACACACAGTAAAATTATGACTTTTTTTTCAGTTTGGCCAGTCGAAAAAATAAAAAATGATCCCCCAAAATTAACTGGCTAGCCTGTTCCAGGCTCCGCGAGATAGTCGGGTCCACTGAATCGAGAAAGCGCGAATATAAAAAAAAAACAAAACTGAGGAGAGGAAGGGGGGCGGAGCTCATAATCATTTCTTTAAACGGCCTCCAGCTCCTGGTAAACCCTCTGATTGGTCAGATTCGACAGGTTGCTATATCAACATTCTCAAGGCGGGTTGTTCCTGTCACTCAGAAAGATGGCAAGCGGAGTCCACGCTCGCGTATCCTTTCACTTTCGCGTCTTTCCCACTATCTTAAAGCCTGGAACAGGCTATTAACTGGCTTACAGTTATGTACGCCCCTGGTGAACGAGTGTAATTTCAGTCTACCGCGCTCGAACTAAGCTGAACTGAGCTCTAAATCTCTCCCGAACACGAGGTAGGGCCTCGAATAAGCTCTCAAACCATTAATAATTTAAACGGCAAGGTTAAAAAAATAATAATAATAATAGTATATATAAATAAAGATAGAAATATGCATCGCGATATGCTTGAATTTCTGATTAAACAACTTACCGTTTTTGCATCCTTAATTTATCCTTCAAATTGCCAAAAAAAAAAACGGAACTCCTCGACCTCCTCTAACACTTTTGTCTCCTTTCTGTTAGAGATACGATGAGGATCTGTCTCGTGTCAGATGTGTCAATTGCAACGGCATCAAAACTGTATACAACGTTTCACACACGAATCGTGTGTGCGCATGCCACGAATTTGCACAACATGTAAATAATTTGCTATGGTTGTACTCAGCCCGAACTCCATTAGTTGTTCTTTTTTGGATGCCAATGAAGGAGCGGGGTGTTATGTTGTTATAGTTCTCGACCTACGTAGCCCACCGAGAGCAAGACAACTTATGCACTCGCATCGTTGACCACCAAAAAGTTCGCTAGCTTCCTTTACGAGCAAAGCAAACTATATTACGCGCTTTTTATCGCTACAGATACAATCAAATGAAATTTGGACTGGATTGTTCCGAGCTGTTGTTAGCCCCTAATCGTTTAAAATCGGTTTTTCTTATTAAAAAAAAGGAATAAAGCTAAGATACAAAAAACCGCAATTGTATGCCACATATAGCGCTCTTCAACCACTGTGTATATGCGAGTACTAGGTAAAGAAAAAAACCCAAGGCCTTATTTTAATTTATTGACATTATTACTAGGATAAATGATAACACAGCAATATTAAACATAACTGTACTTTGCTGAAGTGAATACGGTCAAAACAATTACCGCTTTGCCGACAAGGAAAAATGTAATTCGGCCTTATTTCATATCACCTAAAAATGGCTTTGCAAAATGTTTTTAGTTCAATAAACTATAATACCTGTTGACAATGAAGCTCTTGGATAAAAATAGCTGTTGTACACAGTGGCTTTCCAAACGTCAACTCTGTGAAAATGCTAACATTCGACTATTCAATAATTCATTACAAAACATTTGTTCCATTGCGTAATATGAAAGAAAACTTGTGACCTGACAATTTAAAAAACACCAAGCTGTCGTTATTTATTACTGATGTTTACATATATGACATCAAAAAAGCTGGCGGGAAAATGTTAATGCATGTACCATCCTAAAAACAATTCACAGAAAAATTGTTAAATAACGGTTCCCTTCAGGTCGGTATGTAAAAAAAGAAACTCAGGTGACGAAAGGTTTTCGTGCAATGAAACAACTCGTCAATTTGAATGCAGTCCAAAAGTTATAAATGATTGAATAATCAGCAGAGAACTTGTTCTTGCATGTGCTCTGTATAGTTATATACACGTAAGTTTAAGCTTAGCTAACGTTCGGTCTTGTAAACGATGGATTCACTTTAACACAAGATCACAACAATTAGCTTTTATAAATATACCAACTCATCTATGTATCCATAATGGGACCTAAACAAAATAAAATTGGTCCAAAATTTTAGTTGTCATCTCAAATGCCGGTATTTTTCCTGTATTTGCAAGCTAAAATCAGCATAAGTTAAAAACAAATAGGACAGAAATCGCTTAGTCTTAACGGGATGTTCCTGAGTAACTTTAATCCCCTTCAAAAAGCTAGCCTGCAGTGCAGGCCTTTTCTTCGGGCACGCGAATGCGCCATGTTGAAACTCCCGAAGAGAGGAGGGGAGGAAATGACCTTCCTTGCACCTACCCTAAGGGTTACTATTTCTACCATCATCCCCAATCTTCATCTGTCATTAATCAAAGATGGCGGCTACAACAATACGAACACGAACAAGGTTTCGCGACCCAAAATACGCATGGCTATCAAAAAGCAGGAACAAATGCGAAGCCCCGCGATGATTCTGCGCTGATTCACCTTTTCAAGTTTTTCTTATATAATGTTTTGTATTCATTTATAAATTTAACTATTTTAGGCTTCCTTCATAGCGTGGAAATAGCGTTTTTCCTCTTCTCCCTTTTTTATTCTTTTTCTTCTTATGCGCGCTTTTTATGTGTGCATTGTGCTTCGGTTTTCTTGCTGACCTGTAATTTAATTTTATTTAATACTGATGTCAACTGGCTGCCTGGCTCCGCTAGCCCCCATGGTTATTCCAGGCAGCCAGTACTCTGATTTTTACTTTTAATATTTTCATTGTTGTAATTTATTTTTGAGTAAGAGTGAGTAAAAATAAAGATTGTTGTTGTTATTGCTATTAAAATATTCTCTAATTATTCCCCTGAAAAATATTCTCGCTGTTGGACGTGAAAGGTTTGCAACTGAACTTCGCGGGGGGGAGGGGGGTAGTGCGGTTTTATAACAAGGAAATAAAGTTCGGGTCTAACTCTAAAGTCAGACTGCAAAGTTGCCGGAAGTCTACAGTCCACGGATTGATGAGATACCATTGATCAAAGTCATACTATTAGATTCTTGTTAAACCAAACCAAGCATGTTCGTAAGAGATCGTACAACTTTCAATATAAAACTAATCCAAACTTGCGAAATCCCTTAGAAATATACTAAAACTCAAGTGCAAGTACTGTAATTGCTCGTTTGACTCCTCGAGTTTCAGTTCTGCGCAGACAAAAGACTCTGGTCCTTTCAAGTTATAAAATTAGACTAAATCAATACAATTCTTAATTTATGGCAGAATAACTTTCCGTGAAGCTTAGGCCGACCGGAGTCCTAAACCTGTCATGTTTCAAAAAACTTTCCAGAGAGCTTTTTTAGAAAAAGATTAGTCCTCAAAGACCGAGGGACCACAGAAACTGAAAACGATTGCCCCTTGCCTTTACAGGGTAAACTCCACAATTAATATCACATGATCAAATTGTAATGGGAATATGCTTTCCTAGATTTCAGAGTTGAGGATGGCTATTTTCTCTCAAGTTTTGTGAAATTAAAGGGTGTTTGATGACGAGGTAGATAAGGTTTAGCACTGCACATCCTGGCTAATATCCTAAACAATCCCGCCTTCAATCCACTAACCACATTGAGCAAGGAATCGGCATACTGGGATTACAAAGCCAGAAAAAAGCGCAGAAATTTCAGGCTGTTTCTTTGACGAAAAGTGGAAAACACACCGCATTCCGCTTTTGGCGATAATATCAATTCGTTTTTAGCAAGAGGAAATCCGTTAATCGAAGCATTCTTATAACAGCAACAGATCAATTTGAAAGGGCACCCAGTACCTCCGACCACCCCTCCCCGGCTTTTTTTCTCGGGCGGTTCGCTTCGCTCGACATTAATCTTAATGTATAATCTTTTTGCTGATAATTGGGCTTTTATTTCACCGTAGTATTGATCCCCCATTCTGCTTCACCTTAACAAAAACACACTCAAGCGAGGGTCTCAAGCAGACCTTTTCCCTACGAACTGTGATAGAACGAATCAAAACAGTCATTAAGAACTCTTACCCCAAATTTCTCAATAAAGAACTCACGCTTTGCGTTGAAACGCTTAAAACGCTGTAGACTGCAAAACAGCCGGTTTTTTTCTCAAAATCAGTAAAGAAATTGGTAAAGCGTGGCGTAAGAGTCTCCAGACCCACGGGCGTGTGAGGCGAGAGAAAAAAAAAAACGTCTCTCCCCAGTCTCGCTCTCTGTTTTCAGCCTCGTTCCAGACCTTTTGTTTGACTGCTTGCGCGTACTTGAATATGCAAAATTACGGACTGTTTTGCAGTCTAAAAACGCAGCCCATTCCGTAACGCTGAAAAGGCTACTTTTCTACTAAGTACCTACTTCCAGAGAGCTGGGTGAAGAGAGTGTATGCATAAGTTTGGCAGCCAAGATAAACTTTACTTAACAAAATGACATATTTGGTGCCAGTTATAGCTTTTCTAAGTGCCAACGAGCAGTTTATTAATAACCTATACGCGTGTGCTGTTCAATTGTTTAGAAATGTTATGAATTTTCCCACGCAACATAATTAAGATATATTGATACGCTTCGCCTTTCTCAAAGCTCAAGAAACCCTAAGTTCGCTAGTCGGTTTTAAGGATGGTTTTCGGTTTTCAAGTCACTTGAAACTTTCTTGAATCGTTTCCACTTTTCGACTTTAATGATATGCAAAGCAAAATACTGAACTTGAGATGTTACTTAGGCCTTCAAACACATAGCTTTGGTTAAGTAAAACTTCGCAACTCTTAAGTCTTACTTAACGGCCTAGTGTAAAGACAACCATTGAAATTCATGCTTTTATCTGAAGTTGCGCACAGGTCATTTTGCGTAAAATTTAGTTGTCTTACAAGCGACCTTAGAATCCTCGAAAAATAATAAGTCTGCGAATATTCAACGTACGTACAGATTTAAATTTGGTCTCTTTTAAAGCTTAAGAAGTCTACTTTTCAGGAAAAAAGATTTATTGACTATTTTCCAATTCCCCATAATACACTCTGTCTGCCCCCCAAATTTTGCATAACTTATTGTCTTAAAATGCTCTTGGGAAAATGCAATACTCCCAGGAGCATTTAAAAACAATGGTTTATGCAAAATTTGGGGGGCAAACAGAGTGTATTATGGGGAATTGGAAAATAGAGAATGGTGCGCTGATGAAGCCTTCCGAATATTTTGCTTCAAAGACACAATAAATTTTGCGGCGTTATTATTTTTTCTTAGCGGCATAAACAGGAAGTGTATTCGGGTAAAATTTTTTGAACTCAATTCGAACTAAACTGTTCTACTGCATAAAGAATTTGAAACACTGACTTTACATGGCATATTTTTCTTATATTCTCTGTTCTGCAGAGTTATCTTACACTACTTTATGTTCCATCGCTTCGAGTTTCATTCTGCCTTGGAACTTCCGCGTACGGCTTTATTATGCTGCCGCCTCGCAGTCTCGTGTCTTCGCGAGCCTGTTCGTTGGCCATAAGACTAATAACTACAGTAGGAGATATTGGAAACTTAAAAAACTACAGTGAATCTAAGTTCTCTTTCACTCTCGCTTTTAGTGTTCTCGTTGCGAACCCTAACAGTGAGCAATGACTCAAAGTTGTTCTGTAGGTCCTTGGTTGTCCTGTGGTCCGTTATTTCAGTGGGATTTAACAGGAAATAAAGACTGTGAACTTTTGACAAACCCGTGCTTATTCCTAGGCTGCATTAAAATGGCACTGGACGAGCTTTCGACCGGCTAAAAAATTTGACTCGACTCTTCTTTCACACGGAACCCTTCAATATTTTCGCTCTGTTCACACGGAACTGACGAACCAGGTTGAATAGATCCTTCCACAGTTTTTTTTAACTTTTGACACGGACCAGTTGGGGGGAAGTCCGTCAACAGCGCCTGTAAAATTGCCAAATTTGAAAGTAATACTTCTCAAGCTAGCCAATTTATGGCTCTATCGGAAATTTGCAAGTTTGTGCCCCCACCATACAAACCTCTGTAAAATTTCGCGACTTTGAGAAACCACTATCTTTGTTAGTTTTTAATAAATCACTTCAAACTTGGCAGTTTTACTAATTTTAACGCGCCGTTAGAGACGAGGAGCAAGGAGGGACGGCTGTATTCGCAAGCTGATCTTGCACGTCATCTTGGGTTTGGTCCCCAAGAATTTGAGTTCAGGGAAATTCACTTACATTTGCCATTTCGCGAGTTGAAATAAACGCGAAAAAGTTTGAAAATAAGCGAATTTAAAAAGTGACGTTTTCGCTGCACTTGCCATCATTCTGTTGTTGGTTAAACGCACTGTATTTGAATTCATTAAGGTGATTCTTCCATTTTAGAACAAGAGCCATAATATTATGGTTTTTGCCAAGAAACATTGCGGGTCAATAAGTAATACAATCAACTCTCGCCTTGAGGAAACCCCGCTATAACGGACACGCCAATAATATGGTCAGCAGCTAAATCCCAGGAAAAACTAAATTACAAACATTTGCCTGAAATAAACTCCCGCTATTACGGACTCTCGCTAAGGAAGTCACTAACTCGAGGTCCCTACAGTGTCCGCTATAAAGGCAGTTGACGGTAGCCGGTATCAGGAGCAACATCTCCGCAAGACCAAACCGGGACGTTTTTATTTATCGGGTTCACGCTTCTATGAGAAGGCGAAAAACGAACCAGAATCCAGAAAATTTACCTGTGGTTTTAATGAAACCGTAGTCATAGTACAGTGATAATATTAGAAGAGATATTAAACAATACGAATAATAAAATTGTTTTGTACTTACCCGCTGCTTGCGTTGCTCATGTCGGTTTTCGTGAACTTTCCGCTGCTCTCTGTCTTGGAAATTCTGTGAATTTTGTGCATCGTTCGATAAGCCTTTCCTCCTCGAGTTCCTCAAGCTCGGTTGTTTCACAGGTCTATGTTCATGTGTGTGATATTCATTTGGTTTGTCTTCAGTCGATTGTTCCGCCGAAGTAACCTCCCCCAGATTCAGTTCTTTTAAAATATCGTTGAACCGTGAAGCGGAGATTCGTCGAGTCGAATTATCCGAGTAATCCTCAAATATAAGAGCTAAAAATCGCTCGCTTGCCTTGTTTAAAGCCACCGTTCTCTTATGCTCGCTTGGAGAAGGGCTATTGTTGTGATCTCGTCCGCTCGTCATCGAACACAGCACTAACATTAATGGTAAATATATAAATAATCTTCTGCATCGAAGGTTACAAAATGCCATTTTGTACATTAAAGTTCCAAGATGGGTTACTTTTCTCTATTCTTTAAGAATAAAACTGTTAAAAGTGATGGTTGTTGTTCCGGAGTTATTGCTCTTCAAACGTTTATATAGCTGAAAATAGCGACTTTACCGACTTTGCGGAGCAGACAAATCCACTTACATCGACCCAGGCCTGCCAACATCCGCATTCAGTTCTGCAAACTGTCAAATCTTTGAGAGAGTCGTTAGGATGCGTTTATAAATGACAAGAAACAGCTTTTCTTCGAGAAGGTTTTCGCCTCTCGAATTACACGTAACGTCACCTTAGTCATCCACGATGACCAGTTTACATTCAATTTAAGTTTACTCAGGTGATATAGGATCCCAATACTTTTGTTCTGAAAGAATAAAAACATTACATGAAGCAATGTTAAACTGGAAATTATTAAAGAGCTTTATGTACATGGGCGCAGTTCTGGCATTTAAACCGCGGTCGCCCTTCATGAAGTTTAACTCTATACCTTTAAGGTAGCCAACCATTTTGGCCAAGGATGAGTGGGATCCAAAAATTATAATAAAATTAGTTGGTGAAAGGACGCTAATACAAACATGGTAATTTTGAAAGTAACCTGTTGCGGCAATTTGTTTAGCTGGCCCGGTGTCCAACAAAAACCGAAGGAAAAACGTGTTTTATATTTTCCAGGATACTACATGTTTTATTCCCATGCGTAGGACATTCAAGGATAAACCATCTATAAACTTCTTTAAACCCTCAGTTTAAATTAGAGTTAAAAAATGATAATTCCTAAATAAATATTACGGGGATACCTGCTACCAAGAAGTAATCTTATTTGCATATTTTGAATACTAAGTACAATTTCACCAACTTCTTTGCCAATCGGAAAGTACACAAATCAATAACCCGAAAAATGATATCTGATTTTATACTTGTTTTAGATTGTTTCTTTATGAAAGACTATGTATCGGATAGAAAACGATTGAATTGAAGAAAGAGTCATTCACGTAAGGCGGACATTGTCGCCATCCTGGGATGGTGAACTTTCCTATGAAAAGACCAACCAACATCTGAACGAATTTATATACCAACTCAAATGCAAGGACTGCAAATAACAGTTAGTCATTGGGCAATAACCGCTAAAAGTGTGCGATCAAACTTCAACGATACTGAGTAGGATATCACATCAATAACTTTCCTCATGAATTCAAATTTGCCCGACTGTTGAGCAATTAAACAGACCTTAACTTAGCCACGCATGGTCTTTCTCTCTAGTTACGTATCAGATGTATAAAAATAAAGCACACAAATTTTTAACGAAATGTGATGGGTGAATTCCTTTTTAGTTTCCCTCAATTGGTGTTCAAAATGGCAATTAGTCGGAATTACGGCCTTTTCATAACAACAACAACTTTAAAAATAACTATTTGCAGCCCTGAATCAACAAAACAGGAACAACATGTACAACCTTTAACCCTTAGCTGGGAAATACATGTTGCCCTTAGGCCTTCTAAACCGGATCCACATAGCATTTCATCAATAAAGGACGTTCTTAACCAGTACGATGTGATGCAGTTCATATCCATTGCATAACATTGTAATATAAATCCTATCCAAATCTGACAATGAAAACGCCATGGAGAAAAAGGGGAAAAAACGGGAACTCGATAAAAAGATGATTCCACCAAAACATTATATCACATTATTGGCACCTTATGGTATTTAGTTTCACTCGAAGACCTGGTTCAAGCCCTTCTTTCCACCTCACAGATAACTCTGAGCGACGACGCGAGCAAATTTCACGCGCATTCGCCTGTAACGCTTGCTCTGCCAACCCTGAAGAAATATGCCGGGAATATCGGACAACTCTGGGACTACCCGTAGTGTATTTTATTTTATTTTAGTTAAAATTCACAGCGGTCTAGCCTGTTCACAGACCCTCTATTTTCTCTTCAAAGTCGGTCGAGCGCGGGTGATAAAAGATAAACCGCAGGGGATTTAAGAGAAATTAAACAACGTCTTTTTACATACTAACAGCGGTGCCATGCAGGTCATCGGTATCAGACGTGCCATTAGACTGTCGCTGACGATACCTTGGGAATTAAAACTCCTTGAGCTTAAATTTTCGACACAAAAATATTCGTACCATCAGAACGAGACCAGAACAAACAGTGAAAAACACCGCCAAAAGCCTGAAGAGAGTAAAAGAGAAAATACGTGACTTCGGCACCCTTGTTCCTGCTAATTGAAGTTCCAAGTCATCTCCATGGGAAGTTTGGTCACCTGATCAGAGCACGATACAAGTCTGAAAATAATTAGAAATCTTGGCAGGAAAGCAGCAGGTTTTGGACGAGGCATAAGGAAGTGCAGATCTATATCCAACAATCGCGCAGGCATATCTTATTATCGAGAAAAATGTAATATAATTAAAGGTTATGCTGCTCAGACAGCTATGGATGGGTAAGTATTTGCCCAATATTTCAGGGGCACCCAACGTCAATTTTCGGAAAATATCTGTTCGGAAGACGATTTGAGATCTAGAATTTTCGGAACATTTGTTGTAAAATTTCTTGCTTGCCTGCATCTCCTAGGATTTTCGAACATCTAAAAAATGGTATAATTGCCCATTTTTAACGGATTTTTACTTTAAAAAGGTCCCCTAGAATTTTCGGGAGCCTTTTTTCTGGCTGAAATTTTCGAAATGATAAGTTTTGATCCCTATAATTTTCGGATCACTAGACTTTCAGCTAGGAAATCCGAAGAGATGAAAAATTTTTAGGCGATAAAAATATGCCTATATCTACCGTTTAAATACTAAAATACGATTAACAATGCTATGTTTAAGTGGTTTTGAAGTATATTGTCGTTGGGTGCCCCTGATATTTCGGTTAGGCCATAGTTATTAGAGGAGACTGGTTATGAAAAGCGGCAAACATCAATGATAAAAACAACAGTGCTGCAGTTTATGTTGGAAGCACCCTGAAAGTGCACAATCCTTTGTTTTCTGTTGGCAAATTGTTACGGAATAAATTAATGCAACGTTTTTATTGGTCAATACAATCAAAATGATAGGAATTCTTTTGAACGTTGTGCACTTTCAGGTCCACAAAAACATATAACAAAGGAGTCTGACGGGTTTCATAACCATTCCACTCAATTAACTATGGTTAGGCAGAACTAACCTGCCATCAGGACTAGAAAAGCTGTGAGAACAGAATGATACAAAAATATCAAACAAAAATAATATGTGATTGGTGGAGAAAGATAATAGACAGAAGCTGATATATAGAGGTTGCGGTTACTACGAAACTATGTAAATAGATTAAGATTTAGTCCGGTCGGTTTTATCCCATAGGGTTCAAGTGTATTGCTCTTTGAAATTAAAATTCTTTCTCGGGCTTTACGGATACTATTCCGGAGTGAATTAATGAGTTTTAAGGGAATGAATTCCATGTCTTTGATGGAATGACCGGGAAGACCGAAGTGGTCTGTAAGGGCGGTCGAGTGATTTAGGGCTTTTTCTGTAGAGCGTCCAAATCTGTCACTGAGGTGTCGTTTTGTTTCTACTTTGTATGCATTTTACATTTACAGCACTGGATCATGTAAATGAGATTCTAAAGAAGATGAACAAGAGATGTGTTCTTGTGTCTTCGAGTGCGCCGCTGTTAGTTGTGGAGAAGAAGGTGTAAGACGTGGTTCCTTCTGTAATAAAAGAACACGTTTTGCAACTATTCATGTTACAGCTGAAAGCTCCGGTGTTTTAGTTTCACTGCAAAATATATTTACTTAGGTTCGCCAATTCTTGGCAGGGTTATCCACAGACTAGATGTGTCGCAAGTCGACGGCAGTAAGGATAGACACTCGCAAACCGAGCAGCAGAAACCGGAAACGGGCTTTGAGAAAGTCTTCCACAGACGTTTTCTTTACTTTTTTTCTTCGATAATTCGACAGCGCGCGAGAAAAAAAAACACCTCACTCCTTTAAGCTTGCGTCAATAAATCCCCGCAGTTTTCATTTTTCAAAGCAGCTGGAACACTTCATTCACTCTTTAAAGTTGTTGTGAACTGAATATTGTTAATTTCTTAATTTTGTTTAATTATCATGTTTTCACTTAGTTTAAGTTCAGGAAACTAATATTTTAACAGCTGTTTTTCCCAATTTCCCAAAGCTTTATTTTTTAATATCGATGAGTGTTTTCCAGATAATTCTCAGTAAACAACATTCTAACGTGATTTACCTACGAAAACTCCATTTCCAGAATACTACTTGACAATAAGCAGTTTATACATGTAGTTGTCACGCCTCAGACCAAAACATGCTATTTTGACATCCGTTTTCAGACCTGGCCTCTGAATCCATGCCGGTCTTGAAATCTTGCCTCTGAAAGTTATACTCGCTTGCAAACACGTTTACACGCGCTCGTAGTTCCTTTGAAAACCATACCCGTTTTCAGGCCGTTGTAATAGGCAAAATCTATTCCCGTTTTCAAACCACAAAATTTTAGAACTTATCCTAGTCTGGCTAATCAATGGAGTATTGATCGGCGACAGCTCTTGGCGGCCTAGACTAACGCGATAAGACGAATATAAAAAAGCAAGGGCTATGGAGGGGGGCGTAAGGGTTTGCGGTGATGCGGTAATTTTTATTTCAACTCGCGGTATTGCGGTTTCAAAACACTGACCGGTTTGCGGTTATTACAACCTTTGAGTCGCGGTTTTCGGTGAAAAAAAAAGTGTCTGCGGTGATAGCACTCTTTAGAACGGTCAGCATCCGGTTGTTTTACAAGCGCGAGCCAAGTGTTTTGTTTTACAACGAATCAGGGTTCATCATATCAGCTTACAATTTAACTCTGTGGTTTGCAATTACGGCCTTTTTTTTTGCGTCGACTTCGTGAAATTCCATGCCGGATGTTAGCTCGCACAGCCGTACAGCTTCGTTTTCTCGTTGCTTTGATTCAATGCGCGACAATGGCAAACTGAGGTCGTCGAGGTCGCAACTGAAAGCG